AAAAAATGAATCTAACTTACATAAGGTCATACGCAGAGTTGAAGAAGTATGGAATCGTCGTTTCATGCATTCAAACTGTGATTTAAATGAACCAAATAAAGAGCAAATATCAAAAAATTCAACTAAAAATGGAAGAATTATCTGTAAACACTATTAAGATTAATAGTTCAACTAATTATTTCGAATAGAGAAAAAGTTTTTTAATATAAAATATAAGAAAAATTAATAATAAGTTCTCTTATTCATATATAACAATAATTCAGTCGCTTTACTTTAATTTAACTATTTTAATATTAAAAAACTTTTTCGAAATTGATTATTTAATTAATAATTATTAAAATGATATTCAATTTGCAGCAATTATTAACAAAAATATTTATCCTATAACAAATTCCATTAATCCAAAAAAACGCACGTATCGAAAAACGAATAATAATGATAACATTTTTCCAGCAAAATTGGTAACTATAATTATATTAATAAATCTATAAATTATAATTTTGTAAAATTGTAATTTATTCGATTTAGCTATGTTATTGGGGTTTGTCTGATTCAATAATATAAAATAAACTATCAACCCCCATAATATAAACGCGATGACATAATGTTTAATATTATTCTGCTATTTTTTCAATAAGATTTTTATGGAAAATTCAATGTTTACCGAAGATAATAATATAGTATTAAATATAGTTTATTTGTTTACTTAAATATCTCTTTGGTTGCCTAGAAATTGATGCAGCGAGGAGAATTCGGAACACTTTTTCAGAATGAAAAATCTGGAAAATATAAAAATGAAATTTTAAATTCAGCAGAAAAAAAAAATATAGCAATTTCTAAAGAGAATCCGCTATTAACACCAGCCGATTTGTTAGGAAAGGTATATTTTACTATGCTTTTTTCCAATAAAAAGATTTTAGGGTATACCCTAAACCATTTTTTGGACTTAAAGCAGATTTCTTAAATAAATTTATCATATAATTAAATATATTTTTATGATCCGTTCAGAGTTTTCATAAGAAAAACTTGCAACGCAAAAAATCCGAAATAAAAAAACAACACTTTGAGATATCTTCTAATACTATTGCTCGATCAAATTTCAAAAGAAATTCATCCGAAGAAGATGAAAAACTTATAAAAAGTATACAAGTTTTAAAATATAATTCATTTTTAAAAAATATGAAGTTTTGATTTTTAAAACAAATATGTTATATTTTTAAACATAAATTATTTTAGAGTCAAAAGTTAGTTCTAATCCTTTGACCTCAAATACGCCGAATGACGTAAATTTACTTGCTCTGTCCACTATTGAAGTAATAAAAGTACCAGAGAAAGAAAAAGGTAATTAGTTATTTAATCTATTTATTTTATGTAAAATTAAATAAAAAAAGATTATTTATTAAACATAATTAATTATAATAATACGATTTAAATTAATATAACCTCTGCAGAGGCGTGTCATTAAGGGGGTCCATGGACGTTTTAAACAAAAGTAATTATACGTGTTTAATTTCATATTCCAAAACCTTAAATAAACCTAACTAATAGTAAACAGTTCAACAAAATTTTTTATTTATTTTATGAAAAATGTTTAAATATGGTTACACTTGCAGAAGTAATGCAAGATCAAAACACAACATTTCTTGATCAATATAATGCACCTTCATTTAAGTCACTTACATCTTGGTATACTTCAGACACAATTAATGAGTACATTAAAATGATAGTAACGCGGTCTGAAGGTGAAGTTTATGCAGTTGTCACTGATTTTATCGTAGCGTATCTTCGAGGAGGTTATCCAGCTGTAAGAAGATGGATAAAAAAAGATATTCACACAATAAAATTACTTTTTGTGCCCATGAATGTATATGGGAGTCATTGGATATTGACAGTGGTTAATATACCTGAAAAGACTGTGACATCATATGATAGTCTTAAGTCGTATAAGGGTCCTTATCCAATGGTATTAAAAAATTTCTTAATTGAATGGGAGATGGACAAAAAAGGAAAAGCTTCTACATGGACATTACAAATAGGCGAGACATCTCGCCAAACCAATGGACATGATTGTGGGCCATTTACTGTTGAGCTGGCAGAAAAAATGTCTCGAGGAGATACAACACCAATAAATGCAAATTTTATGCCTTTTATAAGATTAAGACACAAAAATGAAATTATTGCTGGCGAGCTATTCAATTAATATTTTTATGAATGAAATTTTATTTTTGTATTTTATATCAATTTTCTTAATATTCACTATAAATTTATTTGTATATCACCAAACATTTTTTTAATTTTTCTATGTTTAATTGTTGTTTTGTTTTGTTATTTTATTTTAATCTTATTTTTCTTCGTAACATTTCATTTAAGAAATTCAAATTTAATATAAATTTATCTTAACTGAAATAATTTAATGTTCTTGTTATGTGAATATACAAATATTATAATATACAGTTATGGATACAATTAAGTTAAAAAGTCAGCCAATTATAAATTTTTAAATTAACAAGCGTATCTACTATCTTAACAACTTAATTTTAATTTTACTAAATGACGATTCATAAAGAATTTCATAACTTTTGTTTATTTTTTAAATACTATTTTAATTATAAAAAATTCTTTTCTGTATTTTTTATGAATGCGGTATATTGAATAGGGGTAACTAAACTTATTTGTTTATAATTCTCTAAACTGATAAACTATAAAATAAATTTAAAAATGAACTTAAAAAAGTTCAGAATATTTCCGTTGTTGTTATATTTTTGCTACGGGTATTTTTGTTTTCTAAATGACCCAATGAAATCCAAATAATTTCTAGAAATCTCTGATAAAATGTAGATAAATACGTGTCGTCGAATCCTATCAAATTATCTTCAATTTTGTTATTTATTTAAAATACCATTTATTTTATAGTAAATAAATATAGTATATTATAAAAAAAGTTAATACCAATATATTAGGCATTTTTTTTAAGTCGGGGGGTGTCCAGACATGGAGGACACTCTCCCAAAATACGCCNAGTCGGGGGGTATCCAGACATGGAGGACACCCCCCCCCAAATACGCCACTGAAAATATGTATTTCATAAATTAAATTGTTACTGGAAAATTTATACATAATACTGCCGTGCTAAGCGAAAACAGGATTACTCCAGTCAACATGATTTTTCAGGAACACAAAAAAACATTTTTAACAGTAAATCAAGATACCCTTTTTCCTCAATGTATAAACATAAGCCAAAAGACGGTAAATTCATTATTTTTTATGTAATATACCAAGTTTTTGCTTAGTATTTGGATTTACCGTGTTTACGCTTTCAAAACATCAAATATATAGAACTTACCGTATATTTTCTTATTTTATATTTCGATTTTAGATGGGTTTTAATAGGAAATATGCTATTTTTACATCAAAAATCGATGTAAAACCACTAAATTTACCTTTAGAAACAAAAAAAAAAAAAATTTTAAATTTTGGAGTTATCCTGTTTTTGCTTAGTATGGCAGTATACTCTTTGGTTAATATTACAAATTTTATGAACGACCATTTTAATGTATTATTTATAATAAAACATTTTTTTGGTTTTACTAAAATACTATTATAAAAATGACCAAATATGATTATAAATTAAATTACATTATAGCTTAAAAAATGTTTGCTATGATATATTTGTTTGGAAATTATTTTAGTAAATCAAATTTAATATTTTTGCATAATAAATCAATTAAGTAAAAATTACCCATATGAAATATAACTTCAAATCATCTTCTATTTTTTCTTTGGGTGTTTATTAAGTTGGCCAAGGTCGATTGTTATAAATTAACGTCCTCGTTCCTTAGAAGGAAAACAAATTTATAGTAATCAAATACCACTGGGTCATCAATTATGTAAAATATATGTTTTAACTTAATCAGTGTATATTCCTTATTTTAACATACAATTTGAAAATGAATAATTCATCTTAAAATCAATATTATAGTGACAGTAATGAAATGCATACATTTAACGAGATGTATATGTAATAATTTAATAAGTGAATCAATTTTTTTCCGGTAATATGCAACAATGCAATTACAATACGTTATTGTAGAAACGAATAACATCAAATTTTATATTTGTACACATACATCATAAATTTTGCATTTATAAAATATGTAATGTATCATATAGTCTTGTGCAATTTAATAATAGTTTATTAATGTACAACTGTTATTATTTAATTTGAACATAGTCATTTTAATTCAATTTAGTATAAATAAATATAGTGTATATTAGTCTAAATGAATAACAATTATTTAAATGTTGACTGATTAAATTCGAGGCATCTTTAATTTAATTTAATCATAGCAAGTATATTATTAAAACAACGATTTTCATAATTAACATACAAAAAGTGTAATCATGAAATTATATCCTATATAAATGAAATAAAATTACCAAATAGATAAAATATTTATTTTCAGTCTAGTTATCAGATTTTAAAAGATCATTTGTAATTTTTTTAACGTACCGTTTAGCAAAATCGAACAGCAGAAATAGAAAAATCATGTATAGGGGTACAAAAATATTAAAACCAACAGCTTCTCACCTGCGCATCGAAGCTAAAAATTAGTATATTTCATTAGTTTAATTAATAAAATATGTATACATTTTTATTCGAATATATTATTTAAATGGACATGATAATTATCATAAAAATGAAAGGCGCAAATTACATAAATATTAATTATTATTAATATAAAATTAGGTAAACTGATCCATACTGTATGACAGATAATTTAAATAATGGTTGAAGATTTAAAACAGTTTTTATTTATGGGAAAGTAAACTTCAAAATTATCCCTTAAAGCACATTCATTTAAACTATTTAGATGCATTATTCTTTTAGCTTATTTGTAAATAATTCTAGATTTGTATGCTATATAAACATACTATACTATAAGTATTTATACTTTAAAGAGTCTTTAGGAAATCTAATGTATATAAGTACCAAAATAAAATAAAATAAAAACAATTTTATTTTTTGTAAATGTATGTATAAATACAAACAAATGTTTACAAGTTTTTAAATACAAGATGAAATAAATTTAACAACAGGGAGAATGAAATGAAATACAAATATTATACAATGAAAAATCTAAGGAGAATGAAAAAGAAAAGTTATAAAATATGTTTTATTTGGAACTGGTATTTACGGATATTGTGGTTCTGGGGTGCTTGGTAATGAAGCTAAAAGTTGCAAAGATTTTTGGATCTCCTCTGGGATTGGATGTGGAGTTGGCAAGTGTGGACCGTATGGTTGATATCCATTTTCGTTGGCAATGTAGCCAGTTTGGATGAGTTGACCGTCTGGGGCAACATAAGATGTTTGACCTTGAACATTTGAAGCGATTCCTTGACCGTTTTGACTTGGAGCATAGTAACCAACTTGTTCGTGTTTAATTTTGTTTTCAGTTTCATATCTTTAGGTAATTACAACTTTTTTAATAAATATTTTTTTAACTTTATAAAAATTGATTCATTTTTATAAATAATAATAATTATTAATACTTAAAAAAACAAATAAAAATTGTGGTTTTGGTTGATAATTGATGGCAAATTTTCATTTGTTTTGAAAAAATTCCAATTATGAGTTCCAAATAGACATTTACTCATAATAATCAATTTATTTATACATTATACCATGAACACTCTTATTATAAATTGTTTTAGTGAATACAAACTCAAAAAAATCTCGAGTTATGTTAAATACATGTTATATCTTGCTCACTTACCTCACTTTAGAAGATCCATCTGGGTTGAGTTCTTGTTCATGGTAAAGAATAGCGGCTACAGATTCGGGGCTTTGTGGGTAAGCATGGACCGCGACGGCCAACAATAAAGAAGATATTACAATTGTAATCTGTGAAGTAAAAATAACGAGCTAAGTTTAACACTGAAAATAACCACGAGATTTCTTATTGATATCTTACCTGCATGATGAAGTATTTAGTATATGTTTTGTACTTTTACGTTGTCATGAGTGATGTACAATGTTTAAATAATCAACAAAATCGTCTTATTTATACAGTAAGTGAAGGCGATAATAATAGAGTGTTATCATACCAGTTTGTTATTTACCATATAATGGTGGAGGTGGTGCCATCGAGATGAAAGGTCGTTATGTCAGTAGGTTTCGAAAGCGGTCCAACGACACTTATTTTAGCATGTGCACATCATAAAGTATAGAGGCTATCACAAACGAGTTTTTGAAGAATCATACACACACCTCAAATTTAGGATTATTTAACCAATTCATCACAAAACTAATCTATCACAAAATATTTGTAACACGATATAATTATGTCAAAATTACTTTTAGACTTGCGCTTTTTGCATTTTTGAACTCGGAGCTATTATTAACACACGTTCCCAAAGAGTTCAAAAGCATAAAATTATATACACATCGAGGTTATACATAAACTACAAGTTGGATACAAATTGTATGATCTATTGTTATATAAAATGAAATAATTTAAAATTTTAATAATTATCTGTTTGTGTATCAGTGTCAAACTTTTGATCTCTTTCAATAATAATTTTTTATTTTTAAGCAAAAAAATCATTCATTCTTTATTCAAAAATCTTGTTTTTCATACTCCCGATATTTTATTTTTATTATTGAAAGGATTTTTATGTATAAGTAGAGAAAATACGTTAAGTTACTAAACTGAAATTGTTATTGATTCAACTAGAATAGGAAAAGATTTATATATTTGTCTATATTTTGAAAATGCCCTTTAGTTCTTTAAAAAATATAGTTATACGAAATAACTGAACATGCTTAAGGCTATTCGGGTGATTCAACTTTTATTCTGGATTGACACTCAATGATCAAGGTTGAATATTTTCATTTATTCTGATAAATGTCGAGTCGTTATTAAATTTCTTTACCGCATAAAACATTAAAATGCAATAAATTTATCATTATTATAAAGGCCCAATTTCGATTGCATTAACCTTGCTGTACTATTCTTACTTTTTAATAGCAATATGTTTTTATATTTTTTCTCAATTATAACCGATAATAGTATTTTACCATCGATGTGAAGCTGATAATATATTGATTTACTATTATGTGTTTTTATATATTTATTTTATGTAGTTCATGTGTTTAATAAAATTTATCACTAATATTTCTTAATAACTTTTATCGTGTAAAGTTGAGTCCTGACATTAATTCAAAACATTAATTTCAAAAATTTTTAATTTGAAAATAGTTGGTGGTTAAGAACTAATTGTTTTTATTTAGGTTAAAAATAATTTAATTAATCTACAAATAAATAAGTTCTTATATTAAAATAAATAAAATTTAATATAAATTTCTGTGTACTATTGTACATAGGAATCGTTTTAATACAATATTAATTATTAAAATGTCACAAAACAAATTTGAGACTTCACTTAATATTTTCTTCATATGAAATCTCAGTATTCTGTTAAAATTTAAAATTAGATAAGTCAAATAATAAATATTAATAAATAATAAATATCATTGAATAGTAGTTACAATAATTATACAGTAAAAGTAAAATTACTTTTACTTACTCAATTATCATAATTTAATTTAAAATTGTATCTTAAGAATAAATACATGAGGGTTGGGTTGGATAAATCTATATCAAATCATCCAATGTCGTTGCGCGACCACTTTATTTTTTATTTTTTGAAATTTTACACACAAGTTGTCTAGTATCTAAGAAGAAAAAATTAAAAAAAACGTAATTTTGAAAGTTATTTTTTCGTAAGTTGCGGTCATATATCAATTTTGACATTTTTTTCATAGAAACTACATACATAGTACTATATTGCGTGAAAAAATCATATTAAAATATTTTGTTCCACCAGAGAAAAATTAAAATAGAAAAGCTTAAAAATTGATTTTTTAGAAATTCGAGCATTTTTAAATATGTCCCTGTAAAAAACGGTAAGAGTAAAATGTTTCAAAACACAATTAAATATTACTGTGAGTGTACGTTAATATTTAGGAAAAAAAATTAATTAAAAAAAAAATGTTTTTTCATAGTCAATTTGATCTTAAAAATTACATTATTTTGTAAAAAAAGCTCAATTTAGAAAACAAAATTTTCCAACTTAAAAGTTAAAAAACGTGTTGGTAATTATGGGATATGTTAGTGTATCGCATAAAAAAAAATGATGAAAGTTTCAAGTCTTAAATATAAATACTGTTATCATAAGGATACTTTTACGAACTAAAAGTATTTTATAGTTTAAAACTTTTGATAAGTCATAAATAAATTTTCGTAAAACTTTTTTAATTTTTTCTTCTTATATACTATACAACTTGTGTGTAAAATTTCAAAAAGAAAAATAAAGTGGTCGCGCAACGACTTTGGATGATTTGATATGGATTTACCCATGATATTAATGTTAACAAATTTAAGTGATTCAGTACTTTTTGAGCCTGTTATTCTACAGGCTAAGTTAATTCGTGGGAAAGTGGGTTACTGTGAATAAGAGTAAAATAGATTATAAGCACAATGGAACAAACATTTGTAGCTAATATAAATTTTAATAGATGTACTCTCCAGATTTAAAGTAAGAGTTAAGAAATAGTAAATCATTCACTCAATATAGTAGTAATCTAGTCCGAGAAGACTAATGACAAGTTCTACTTAACTTGGTACTCTCGCTTGTAACGCTGGTTACAAAAATTCTCAAATATTTCATTGCTAAAACAGCAACTTCTGGAAAACTATTATGACTTAATTTTCACCTAGTGATAGGATCTCCATCTTTTATTACAAAATCGTATTGTTTTTTGTATTTTTTTAAATGAAATTTCACATAATAATTTTATATACAGTCGAATGTTCATTATTACTATCTGCTAGTAATTTATCGTAACTCAAAACTTAATAAAATAAAGAGAAGTGTGGCTTGGATTATAAGTGTAAAAGTGAGAGTTACTTTAATACGGGGTTTGTTTTGAGGGTCATAAAATAACATAAATATAAATTCTTATTGATTTTAAAATCTTACCTAATAATTTGTATCTAGTTGAAGACATCATCTTTAAAAATTAAAAAAAATTTCCCTCGTTCCCCATAAATGAGGGAAATCTCCCAAAAACTTACAATTTTAACAAAAACAATTTTTAAAATCGGTAAATTTCGTCTTCTTTTTAAAATTTGAACTTTAACTTGCCCAAAGGGGGCTATTCATAATAGCAACTTTTATTTAAAAGTCAATTTTTTTAACTTAACTTTAGAAAATGTTCCGGAAATACTGCGTCCTTTAAACATATATCAAATTAAATCTTATGTCATGTACTATAAAATGAAAAAAAATTATTTGTCTTGACATCTTATCTTCTGCATGCAAATAGCTGCCGTAGATAAAAACTTACTATTTTTGTATTAAAATTTTCGTTTTTTGATTTTATATTTTTATATTTAAATTATTATAACTTTTTGAAAAATCTATGGATCAATACAATTTTTTTTTATAAAAACTTTATGTTTACTTCTTTTATTTGACATATTTTTCTTTTAAATTGGACCATTTTCTTTATACGGGGGGAGGGGGGTAAAACTTGAAACATACGTATTAAAAGGAGAACTTTTTAAACTTAATTATTGAAAATATTTCGTAAATACTACGTTCTTTAAACATATGTCAAATTAAAGATTACAATAAATTCTATGAGTTCAATGAAAAAAATATATATCCCTATATCTAATCTTCTATGAAAAATAGCCGTCGAATTTAATGAAAAATGTAATTTTGATGTACAAATTACTGTTTAACATGAAATATTTTAATATTTTAAACTACCATAACTTTTTAAAAAATGAATAAATTAAATTAATTTTTTTTATATTAAAACCTTAGATATTTTTTTTTTATTTGATACAATTTTTTTGAAAATCATACTCTAAACTTGCTCACAGGAGGATTCAAAAAAGCAATTTTTGTACAAAAGTTAAACTTTTTCAATTTAATTTTTGAAAATGTAATCTTAAATTAAAGCTTAAATTAAAAAAAAATTTTCAAATCATTTGATTTTTATCTCATTTAGATTCAATAACTTCAACAAATATCAAGGATCCCATCACTGTAGTATCCCCCTGTAAGAAGAAATTTCTTATTCATGAATTAATATTATTTTACCATGTGTTCTTTTTGTGGCTGCGATTTTTTTTTCCAACTCCACCCTTAACCTACTTTTTTAAACGATACATCATATTATTACAATGTGTATTTAGTTGAAGATATTACCCTCAAAAATTGAAAACAAATCCCTTAATTAAATAAAAAAGTAGCTTAACCAGCTATAAAAATAATTAAAATCATTCATTTCTAAAATTTTTAAAGTATTTATTGTCGAATTATCTATTATTAATCCACAACTTAGTTATGGTAGCTTAAAAATTTTTTTTTTATCAAATTTAATTCTTTAGCTGACCCCAAGTAGTTGGGATTAAGGCGAGGAGAAGAAAGAAGAGTCAAATTTAATAATTTATATAAAAAATTATCATAAATATTATAATTATCGAAGAGAAGTTTGACAGTGCTTTCAGTCACTGCTCAGTATTTAAAACTTAGACTCAAAATTTGCGAAAGGCAATTTTTGTAAAATTGTTGTAAGCTATTATATAAATTCGCTTTAAAACTTGTATTAATAAAAGCGTATTTAAAAATTAAAAAATTTAGAGCCAAAAATATAATTTTTGAATTGACAAATTTTTTTAATAATATCAAGCTGATTATGAACAAAAATAGTCATAAAAATATCATATATACTGTCATTTTTATACGCATGGCCATATGAAAGGCACAATAACATCCATTTTTTTTTGTTTAATATATAATAATTATTCAGTTTACAAATAAAATTGAAATAATTTTCTAATAAATGCTTTTGTATCCATTGAAACAGTGAAAACTATTACAATTTTTGTTAGATACCAGTTTGTTTAAAACAGAATGTTGTTAAATCTTTCAGTTGGCGTTTTTAATTCTATGATTCTTATATATTCTCCTAAATTTCCAATGTTTTGAATATATACTTACATAATTAAATTCTATTTAGCTTTAAAATTATAATCATAATTCTTAATTAATCTAAACGGTACGCTACTATTACGAAGTGAATCAAAACATTCCATTATTAAGTGGCACATCGAGTCAAAGAAAGCTTTTTTAAAGATTTAAACAATTTATAATTATTAATTAAAGTTTTATTTGTTTATAGTGGCAAAAAATTATAAGAAATCTGTTGTTAAACGTTTAAACATTTTAGAAACGAGAAATAAAAATTACACTCGTATCCCTGCTAAGATCACGAAAAAGAATCGCGTGAGAAGTATTTATAAGAATTTGAACTGAGAAAATAATTTGGGAAATATAAATATGTCAACAAACCCAGAAGAAAATCTTGCACCAAATGAAATTAATGAAGTCAAAGAAAACTTCCTTAAGACTATAAGAAAAAGAATGGCCGAGGAATCAAGACGTCAAAAGTAATTCTATTATTATCTTCCTTAAAATAAGTAAACAAAATTATTTATAAAATTAAAAAACATAGAATAGTTCCTTCACAAGTAATAAAACTTTAGTGTATGAAATTCAAAACTAATTAATTATCACTAAAATTTAAATAAACTATGATTATATTAAAGATATTCACTGTATTAATGTATCTTCTAACATAAATTTATGGGTTGAGGCTTAAAAAAGAAATTAAGTAAAATGACCAAAGAAAGTGTATGGTACAGAACGCCTTTAGAAGGATCTAGTTGACCAGTTGTTACAAAGATCATTGATTATATTATTTTTTGGGACAGCTGATCGCTAGAATCTTGTTTTACTCACCCCCTTGCCCACCCGTCACGACAAATCGATGACCTCCGTGTCGGTTTTCATCCGTGTACAGTTCATTATCGTAAGTCAATCAGTCAATTGTTTTTTGTATCACTCTTTTTGTGTTGCAAGCGTCTTCGTTTGAATGTTAAATTTTCCAGCCGTTGTATGACATAGTTTTTTATTACTTGTTTATTGCATCCTTGTGCTCAAAGTTTATGTGCTCTTGCACGCCACTAGTGATTGAGCCCTGACCATCACTAAATATCTTCATTGCCGTAGTCTGTTCTCATCTGCCATTACGTACCTGGATTTACACTCTGACTCGTCATACTCAGATGTTCGACACCATTACCACAAGATCTCATACAGTCCACTCATCATCATCAACAACTTCATCTATTCAGCTGAGTTTATATTATTTTTTAATGTTATTTATTGTTTGTTTTAATTGAGATTAACTATTTTGTTTTATGCCGCTTCGCTGGCCATTAGTATTTAAGGGCCCCCCGTTACCCCTTAAATTTAAGGTACTCTCTAAGGAATTTCTAATATATATGATTATTTGTTATTTAATTATTGTCTACTCTCGTTTACTTATTGGATATATAGTTAGCCGTCATCTCCTAGATGACACACTCCCGCATCAATAATAACGTTTTTTAAACAGGCTTAAGGTAAAACGGCATTCTAGTGCGGTGCACAACAAGCCGTCCTACGGTCTAGCTGCCTCGTACAAAACAGAAAGAGACATTATTTCAATATATAAGAATTATTTTATCAATATTATTCTTCCGATAAGTACAATAGTCATTGCTATGTATAGTAATTAGAGATAATGTTTAAAAAACTAAGTACAGGAATTTTAAAATATTTTTATGACGATTAAAAATTAATTCATCAATAATTCATATTTTTGAATGTGTTTTAACATAACTGTGTTTATTTTAAAGCAATCGTAAAGTACGTCTCAATTTCACCTCTTTAAAAATTATACCAGATCAAAATAAACTCTCCGGCTTGAAAAGTAAAAAGACATCGGAGGTCCAAAAAATTAAAGAATGAAAAATGGTTCACAAGCCTAGTGAGTAATTTTTTCAACTAATAAATGCTTCTAATATACTGATTAAGGATATAGAAATAAGAACTGTTTTATTTTATGTTTAATATAAATTAATATAGTATGATTCTCAATAATTACTACAGTATTATTATGTAATCTATATTTATTAATTTGAGCATAATAACAAATTAGCATTATTTATTTTTATTTATTTATTTATTTATTTCATCATTCAAAATGATGATGATGATGATTACGCCCATTAGGGCAGACAGTACAGAAATAATACAAAATAATACAAATAATAACAAACTATAAAAACTTAAAACTTTAAAGTTATAAATATTAAACTAAAAAAATACAAAATGAATGTAAATAAATATAAAGTGAACATTTGAAAGATTATTCTTTGAAAGTAATACGACATGTTGACAATAATAATGTTGACGAATCATGATTAAAATCAAAATTTTTTAATTATATTAAATTAAGTATTGTACTAAATTTAAATATAATTTATTTTTAATAACTATTCCCTTACGATAAAATGTTCAATTCATATGTTTTATTATGCATCACTTATCACCTAATAAAATTAACACCTAATTTTCAACTAATTTGATTAAAACTCGCTACTATCTGCGATATCTTAATATTTTAACTTTTTTATAGCTTTTAATATCCGTAAAAATCAGCAAATAGCTGTTGATACTGACAACCCTACAAGTTCTAACTTTACAAAAAATAAAACATCATCTAAGGCATACTTTATTGATGGCGTATCAAGACGAACAAATGGTGTATTACTATACTCCCGATCGTATATAACAAGTTTTACAAATTACTTAGATCTTACTCTAGATGATGAAGATGAAACTCACGATGGATCTTATATTAATACAGCAAAGTCGCAGGAATATATTCAAATTAACTTGACTTCTAGTTCAAGTCCTCACAGCAGCCATCATTATAAAAAACAGTAAGTTTATGATGGTAACACGAATCCTCTTCTGCAGCTGATTAAAAAAAATATATGTATGGGGAGACGAACAAATATTAGTGCTACGTCTGATTTATAGATTACATAGAAATTTTAAAAACAATACTTTTGTAATAATTATTTAAATAGAAATTTTTATTTAATACTTTTTTTTTAGTGCTTTAGTTTTTATAATTATTATCTATTTATATTTCAAAACAAATGCATTAAACTTATTTCTTTTATTCATTTTTGTATTTTTAATAAATGTGTTTCTCTAATTTTTAAAGAGAAAACTTTAAACTTGGACAGAATACATTTCTCACTATCCTAAAAATACTTTTTATAATAATTAACTAACCTAAACATGTAATTAATTAATCATTAACATACGATAAAGATAGTCTTAAACAATAAAAACCCAGCACAGGGGGGTCGCGGCACAGTGGTGACGTGGCATAGTCGGATCAAGTAAATGATATCTGACAGTGATTAAAATCACTATCAAAAATAAACGCTTCGATGCAAATCTTTAGATAGTGTTAAATTTTAAAAAAATTGGTGTTTTATTCCAAAAGCTACTTGATCTGCTGGTTTCTTATTAATATCCTGATTAAGGTAAAGTATGTCGAATGAAAAAGGATTTATTAAAAAATATTATTTGTCATAAAAAAATTGTGTGGATCCATAAACTTTTCAATAAGTTATAGCATTATAAAGTTAAATATAATATAAATAATAAAATCGAGAATTTTCACACGAAAA